GCTCTTCCCCTTGCTCACAGCTTTGCCCGTTTTAAGAGGAAGCATTAGCAGTTATTTCTAGCAGCAGAAACCCCCTGAATTTTTAGTCTGCCCTCCTTGGGAGGATGTATGTTATTTTCTTTTTTTATTGTGACAGTTATTTTTCCTCAGTGTACAAATTCAATTCCAGTTTGTAAGACTACTTCTGCGCTTAAGATAGTCATGCTTGGTAATTACGTGAAAAGTATATACATCTCTTGTATTTTTAGGACTTCAGAATTTTGGACTTGAAGTCCAAGCCGGTTTCTCATCCAGACCGTCCTGTTGCTCTTTCTAAAACAGCAGATGAATTGCAAAGGCGTTTAAGCAACTTAAATCCAGCACAGCTGCCACAGTAAACAGCTTTCTTCAGAAACAATCCCTGGCAAGGCAACAAAGGAAATCCCTAACCTTATTGTCCCTTTCCTTTTGTAGGTCCACCTTCCTTTTGCTGTAGTTGGCAGCACCGAAGAAGTGAAGATCGGCAATAAGATGGCAAAAGCCAGGCAGTACCCCTGGGGTGTTGTGCAGGGTATGTTACCGAAAGCACAAATAAGACCTTGCATCCTGTCTCATTTTGATGAAAGGTGCATTGATCTCTGGGTGGTCCTAATCAAAATCTGTCTTGAGAAAGCAAGATCACAGCTCTAAGACTTCTCCTTAAAATCAGGGCTTTGCAACCTAGATCCAGACGTGGAGGGGGTTTGGCAGGAAGGGTGGTGGTGTCAACCTAGCCATTGGCTTTGGTGAAGAGCAGGGTAATGTTACTAGGAGAGGCTGAATAATAAGCTTGAAAAATGAAAAATCGAATCTCCGTTCTCTGTTCCTTATGCTTTTCTGCCAGCAAAAAAGCGTGAGCAGCGGGGAAGGCTTGGACAGCTGAGTGGTTCGGTTTGGACCTTGCACACAAGCCTGAATGCAGACATGTAGCTGGGGGATTTTCCGGGGAGGTCAGCAGGTGTTCTGCCCTCTCAACTTGAAGTGGGAGCAGCGCTAATTCAACACTGACTGCTTGGTGTGTTTTGTCGTGGTATCGTGAACTGTGGACACGAAGCTTAAGTGTGCAATCCCCCATGAAGTCAGCCAAAAGCTCCTTTCTGTTGGAGAGCAGAGTTTGGTTAGGGCTGTGTTTGCAACCCAGGCTGTACTGAAGCTGCCAAAGGTAGGGCTGGTCCTTGCTTTCCCAACCAGCGCTGAGAAGTGCAGGGTTGAGATGGCGGTGGTCTGCTTGTGGCTTCAGCTGTGTATCCAGTTGGAGAATGGCCCAGCAAGCTGCAGGGGAACGTTGGCAGGACAGTTCTGCAAAACTCACCAAGTTTTCCTCGATAATACAAACTGACCCTGAAACAGCTTCAGCCTTATTGTCTTCAGCTGTGTACACCAGAGAATAATACTGGGAATAACTCACAAATAGGGAAGAAGTTGATATGTTTGGGAAGTCTTGGACTTGACACATATCCTGCTGGGTTCTTGCTGTTCCCAGGAAACTAGGACCAGATAGTCAAAGAGATTTAGTTGGGTACCAGAGAGAGAGAGACTTTGAAGATCTGGCCCTGAACTGCCCCTTTGCAGAGACAGCTGGTCTGGTCTGAAGGGGAGCAGCTGGAGTGCTTCGCTGTGTCCCCGGAGGCGTGCTGCAGAGTTGTCTGTTAGCAGCAGAGATGCCTGCTGCTTGCCGTTGCATCCTAAAGAGGAGAACTTCCACTCCTTGTCTTTAAGCGTACCCAGACTGTTGGCCTGCACTGAAGTGTGCAGCCTTCTGGCTGCGGGCCCTTCGCAGGCTGGACAGCTTGCTCACCCAGGGGCTGATGGTGGCGCACCAGACCCTGCTCTGAATAGAAGTTGTTATGGGAAGCCATGTTATGCTCTTGTGTGCTGCCTCCCTTCGGTGCCAGGAGCCAGGGGTTTAGGGCTCCTTCGTTAGCTTAGCTGGCATGGAAAGGGTATGGCATCTCTGGTGGGGTCTTCTCACAACCTTTCCTTTCACCGCTGCTACAAACGGAGACTTTGTTGCCCGCCTGGGCCTCTGTTGGTGACTTGGATTTAGAGTGGATTTGAGTGGGAAGCGCAATCCTGTGCGCCAATGGATCATCACCACGCTTGTGCAGAAATGCACGGAGAGACAGGAGCTCTGTGACATATGGGCAATACAGAGATCTTGCAAATCCAGAGAAAGGCCTTGAACTGGTGCCCTTGTGTTGGCGTGGGATGGTTTCACCCCCAGTTCAGCAAGGCGTTTTGGTGCAGGCTGACTTGGAGTTCTGCTTGTGTGCCTGAAGAACTCTCAGGCTTGCTAAACTGGGGCCCGGGTCCAGGGGAAAGGGGGGCCCTGGCTCCTGGGTTTAACGTTCTCTCTGTGGATGGCCTCTGTTTTGCAGTTGAAAATGAAAATCACTGTGACTTTGTGAAGCTGCGGGAGATGCTGATCCGAGTGAACATGGAGGACTTGAGAGAGCAGACGCACACCCGACACTACGAGCTGTACAGGCGCTGCAAACTTGAAGAGATGGGATTCAAGGACACGGATCCGGACAGCAAGCCTTTCAGGTAGGAAAGCGTAACTCAGGCCTTGTACAGCCAGAGCGAGTGGAGGTTTTGGGGTTGCCGATGTTTGCAAGAACCAGGGAGGGAATAGCCATGGTCACTTAGAGCAGCTGAGATTTAAAGTGCGGTTGGGATGGAAAACCTTTGCAATGCAATCTTGCCCTCAGGGCCAAGGATTTGTACAGGAGAAGCACAGGAAAAGCTTGGGTGGCTGAGAAAGCCAATTCTTGCCTGAACATTTTGAAAATGTCTGCAACCCTGCAGCAGGGCCGTGTGGGCTTTCTAGAGCCTGCAAAATGTCACTGGGGCACTTGAAGGTGATGTGTTTTGAGGGCAGAATATGACCCATTTCAGATCAACCTGGAAAACTTAGGAGGAAGAAGCACATGTCTGCGGATCTATCTGCACCCTGTTGCTGAAGTTGTATCAGTTTTCTTTGTGCCCTTCTCTGAGCCTGCCTTGCTCAAATATAAGCTGCTGGCCCTCACTCACGAGTGCGTGCCTTTCGGTCTATCTCCTACCTGTTATCTGTCAGCCAGTGCTAAAAAGTGTCAAAAGGATTGATTTCTAAATGCTCCTCCTGTCACTCAGTGTGGAGAGCAATTCCTCACTGGACTCTTAAAACTGATTTTGCTGTCCACGTATGAAACTGTCCATTGCTCTACATCGCCAAGAGGCTGCTGTAACGCAGAGCCTGCCGTGAAGACCACCACTGTTTCCTGGTTTCTTTGTGTCCTCAGCATCATGGAAGGGGGCATCTTTTTGTAAGACGCAGTGAGAGAGTTGGTGGTAGTATGCAATCAGGGCTTGTAGGCATGTCTGATTGGGAACAGTTAACATCAGTTAACTGTTCACATTGTGGACTTGTCATTTTTTCAAGCTGCGAGAATCTCATTTTGGGGTTGGGAAGTTGATTTATTTCTTTTTTTTCTCCACCCTTGTTCTTGCTTTCCTAAAGCCTGTGAACTGTCCAGTCTTAAATAAAGCTTATGCTCATCTTTCTACTGGCAGTACTATGAGCTTCGTGGAGACTTGAGTGAATCTGTTGAATAGCGGGTTTGTTAATCACTTCGGAAATTCCTCCTGACGCTTTTTGCCCTTGGAGGAGGGCAGGTTTTGAGATGCTCAGGTGATGCATTAGTGCCCCCTTTCCTCCACTGCAGACTCCACCGTGTTTTGCAGCTCGCTCGCTCTGCTGCAAGTCAGGGCCGTGTACGATTTCTGGGCTTGAAAAGTGCAGCTGCGTCCATGCTGAGATGAAGGTGACTCGTGTTGAGGTAGAACTGGTTACCGAAGGGGAGATCCTGGGATAAATGTTCTTGTTGACCCTCCTAGAGCTTTTCACAGCTGGTCCAAGGTGCGCTGTGAAGAGGGTGCCACGGTCTGATGCTTGAGGTTTGGCTTATTACTAAATACGGAGTTGATGCTGTCAGACAGCTTTATTGGTCTGAAGCCCGAGTCATTAGCCAGGGACAACAGCTGTGTGGGAATTTGGGAGGGAGTGTTTGTTTTCTCCTTTCATTTCCTGTTTCCCATTCCTCCCCAACTTTTCCCCAATAATTGCACCGCCGCCTTAGCAGGATCCCACGCTCCTCTCTGCTCCGGGGGAAGGCAGTCAGAATTAAACGTGCATCAATGTGGGTTTACCCCCATAACACACGCTCGTGTCAGGAATTGGCGTGCCAATCCCCGTGACGGCAGCCATGCGGCTGGCTTGTGCAGGTAACCATGGACATGGTTGGTCTCTGATCCTCAACAGGGGAAAGCCAGGCGGGCTCCAGAGCAGAAGGCAGGATGGGGGCCTTGTGTTCATGTTTCTGGAAAAGAGCACTCCATGGTGAGCCGAGCAAGGTTTGCGCTACAACACAGAGTTTGCGTCAGTTCAGGGTTTTATTTGTGACTTGCTGAGTTTAAGCAGCTGCATTTCTGTTGCAGCACAGAAACTCTGCTGGAATCAGTCGAGCCCTGTCCTTTTACTAAGCCCAAGTGTGAAGCTTTATTATATTTCCTTTCTGGAGAGCAATGGCTTAAGATGGGCTTAGCCCTTCCCTTTGAGGAATCTGAGGAATTTCCATTGCTTCCTGTACACGAGGCCTCTTTTGACCAAGCTATAAGTAGAAAGGAAATGAAAATGTACAGAATTTCTCCATCTGGTACGTGCTAGTTCAGAACAGTTTGCTCTGGGTGCCTCCTCCCTCCAATAAACAAACAAAACCCATGATCCCAAGCTGTTTGGCCGAGGCTGATGTATATCTGAAATGAGGAAAACAGTAGGTTTGGTTCTTTCTGTTCTTCCTTCTGAGACCAGGGATCAAAAGCATGCCTTTCCCCCGGGTCTGGGCCCCGGGAGCCACGGGGACCGCTGGTCTTCCGCCAGTTTGCGTCAGCCGGGAGCAAGGGAGCCTTTTGTAAATCTCAGGGTGAGCAGGGCGAAAGACCCCGGCAAACCATTGGTGCTGTGTAGGTGCTTGTGCGAGGTGTGAAAAAGGGAGGCTGGCGATGGGTGTGAGACCCATCTTGCTGGTAGAATCCCCACCGCTTGTCCGAGCTGCAGGAGGTGAGGAGGGAGCACCAGTGCCCCCGTAAGCATCTGCTTTGTGAAATGGGGTCCTCTGTTGCACAGAGACCCTTCTGCTGTCCTGCGTCTGTTGGGGACTGGTTTCGCTGCTGCTCTGGTTAATTTTCTCAAAACGCTTTTTTTAAAAGAACATTATTCGCAAGGGCATCATTCAGTGTGTGTGCGTGTTGGGGAATCAAGTTACCCTTGTAATCTAGGTTCATATGTTTGTATACTTAAAAAGCAAATTCCCTTGTCATCTTTGTCTGTGAGAAGCTGCAGGGATCCCAGTTGGTTTGGGCTGTTATTCCTTAGGGCTGTAAGTGTGTTTGTTTTCATACGCAGTCTGGAGTTGCCCGGCCAGTTTCTCTGAGAACTTTGCTTCTCTGAAAGTCGGAGTCACTTCAGTAGAGAATTAAGCTTGCTGGCTTTAGATTAGTGGTAAATTTTTAAGCTTGAAGCTGGGATTAGCACTGAACCTGGGACAATGTAACAGCAAGCCCCTGCCACCCTTGCTCCTGCCAGCCTCTTCCTGCTTGCCCATCACCCAGCACTGTGTTTTTGGAAATGAGCTTTGCAAGAAATTGTTCGCAATACAGGATAGGATTAGCAGCGTGCAGAGTTTTCTGTTTCGGTCCGTAAGGCTCTGCTGCTCCCTAGTATAGTGTGTCACTAATTGCAGATTCAGTTTTTGCTCACTGAGCGGTGAAGGCTGATCTGCCCTTGGGGTTTTCCTAGGCTCTAGCCAGACCCTTCAGAAGGATTTAAGAATTTATGTTTCAGTGTCCACAGTCAGAGGATTAAATCCAAGACTCAATTTTAGGGATGTTTTGATTGGAGTCTCCTGATCTCTATCTGCTATGAGTGGTCTGGTTCTTGATTGAGTTAAGAATCCAAAGATGCCTTTTGCCCTGTTCTCCCATTAAAAGATTTTTGTCATTTTTGGAGTCAGCATTTTTGCTTCCATGTGTGGGAAACTGGTGTGGTTAGCTGGAATCGTGTGATTCCTCCAGGGTGGCCGGTGCTGTGCGAGAGCAGCTCTGGGCATCCTGTCTGTGCAGTATTTTAGGAGGCAAAAGTGCCCTAAAAGTGCCCATCAATTAGCAGTGTTAAACCCAAGACTTGGGTTTATCTGTCAAGTTTTTGTTCTCTAGCTCAACAACCCCACCCACCCGCAAAAAAAAAACACCCCAACAACAAAACCAGGCAACAAAAAAGCCATCAAAAACCCCACCACATGCCAGGAAAGGCAAAAGCTTGGCTTTAATGGGATTAAGATGTTCCACTAGCCTAGTGGTTAATGTGTTCCGTAGGTGCAGGGATGCAATGTATCTGTCTGATATCAGTGGAGTTTTCATTTTAAAAATGCTTTTTCAAAAAAGCATCTTGGGGGAAATAGTTATCACTCCCACACTATCATTATGGCTGAAATATCCAAATCCATTTAAGGAATAAAATGAAGAGGAATTTGGCATCCAGAGTTCCTAAGAGGCTCTGAAAATCTCAGAGGTGCGTGGACAACATATTTTGTGTCCCAAATTTTTGCTGCGGTATCTCAGTGCTGGGGAAATAAAGGAATGCCAAGAAGTAGAGGGGGAATAAAGGAATGAAGGAATCGAGTAATGTGGTTACTTGGAGGAGGAACGCTGCCGCTCGTTTGCAGAGGCTTAGCCTTCCTTGACAGCTAAAGGAGAAAGATCTCCCAAGGTGGCTTATCTAAATAAAGCCCCTGATCTGAATCCATTAGCGATGAGCAGTGAAAATTAGTTTTGCTCTGTGTCAGTGTCATGCTTAATGAACTACATAAAGCCAGATTTCGCACTCCGATATGCCCGTGTCTGTTCCACAAATCTTGCCCTTCCAATGAAGCGATTCGGGCCAAACAGTGGGAGAAGTGAGAAGGTGTGACTCAAACAGATCACAAGCTATGTGAGCATCAGGGGTTGCTGTAGGTGCTTACGCAGTGCTTGTTTATTTTCGAGGACAGTCATCCTGCCTGCTAAGTGATTTACAGGATCCGGAACAGTGTGCTTGTTTTTGCGTTGCCAATTTGTCTCCCACTGCTACCGCCTAGCAAGCTAGGGCTGGTTTTGGTGGAGGTGTTCGTGCCTCTGTTGTAGTCGGGGACCTCTGACGGTGTTTTGTGATAAGACAATGCGGTGAGATCACCGAAGGCTGGAAACTCATGACTGTGCATGAAACGCAGCTCTGACATTGTTTTTTCTGTGTTTTTAACAGTCTCCAAGAGACTTATGAAGCAAAGAGGAACGAATTCCTGGGCGAACTCCAGAAGAAGGAGGACGAAATGAGGCAGATGTTTGTCATGCGAGTGAAGGAGAAGGAAGCAGAGTTGAAGGAAGCAGAGAAAGATGTGAGTGTATTGTAACCCAGAGGACTCTGTAGGAGGGTTTAGGCTGGGGCTTTTCTAAGAGAGCCCCGAGAAAGCGAGCATCCAGATTCCAACATCAAGCCTGCAAAGGTGTTTGCTGTGCATAAACAGTCTCAAGCAGCGGGTATGAACTCAGTTCCCAGTCCTGCCGTGGACTTGTGGTGTGACCCCATCACACAAGTCCTCTGCCACTTTTCTGTGCCTGGAAAATGGAGCAGGAGTATTGCCTGGTTTTGGGCAGCTGGAGGAGGGTATGTACTGTGGAGCCACTGGGAGGTGCTGCAGCGTGACGGTAACAGCAGCTCCGGCTGCGTACCCCACAGAAATGCCAGCCTTGCTGCGCTGTGGGAGTCCTCTCTGCTCTCTCACCTCTTCAGTCCCACCTAAAGGGGGGAGAGTATGTTCGCTACTCAAAGTAATGTTGATTTGCAGTGGATCTTCAGCTATGGTACAGCCAGTGCTGCCCTTCAGCAGCCGCACCTTTCTGGAGACTTTCAGTAAGTCGATAAGGACTTCCCAGAGGGCGGCAAGTCCCACTCAGCCTAGCTGTAGAGGGACATGACAGAGCTCTTTGAGAGCTGCCCTACCGTGATTTGCTTGGTGTGTGTGGGGCAGAGAAAACATAGATGTCCTGCTTGGGGAAGGAGCTGTTTCTTGGGCCTCACGGAGGAGCGTGTACTTCTACAGAGGTCCAGAGAAGAGTATCGCCCTGAATGGCCACGTTTTCTTGCTTTGCACGAGCTTGAGAGTGTCCCCTAGGTACAAAGCAATGAGGGATGGAACATGGCGGTTTGGAAGTGTCCAGAGACCTGTCATATTCCTACAGCAACTTAAATGCCCGCCATCTGTGTGTGTGTGTGTTGATTGCAGGGCTTTCCTCACAAAGTCAGGCGTGCTTGAGACAGGGTAATGACTTGTTACTAATGCAGTGAGGCCTCAGTGCCAGCGGAACCGCTTCGGGCATCGTTACCAGTAATCAGGGTGAAACATTCTTCTCTTCCCGTCCAATTCTCATTGTCTCTTTCCCGGCAGCTTCACGAAAAGTTTGACCATCTAAAGAGGACTCACCAAGAAGAGAAGAAAAAAGTGGAAGACAAAAAGAAGGAACTTGAGGAAGAGCTGAACAACTTTCAAAAGAAGAAGGCAGCAGCTCAGCTATTACAGTCACAGGCTCAGCAGGCAGGTTCTCAACAAACCAAGAAAGACAAGGACAAGAAAAAGTAAGCGGATGTCACCCACGCCCTTTTGTAGGGTTTATTACAGTTTGGGAGGTTGTTTTTTCTTTCTTGCTGCATGTCTGTATTTGCTTTTCCTCATTACCAGACTGGAAACTGGGCTTTTATCAGCCTGATCAAATAAAGTATTTTTTTCTAAAGGGTGGGCCAGGGACATGATCTTAATTTTTCTCTAGAAGAGTACCTTCAAATTTTATGTCGAAGTCTGACTGGTACGGGAGAGCAATTGGATGGTGGAGGCTTGACCTGTGATCTGTCCAGCATCTTCTGGACCAGCCCCGGCACGTTCTGGACTCAGATTTATCTGCCTGAGCCAAAATTATTACGGCGGTCTCTACCTGTCGGTCCTTTCACCCAAGAGTAGTCTCCAGTTCCCATTCCTTAAGGTTATAGTTGTAAGTAGAAGTAGATTAGAAACCAAAACCACCATGTTATTTTTACATGGGAAATGCTAGTGCCAAAAGTGAGTACTTGGAAGCTCGCTTTAAAGACAAGAAGTTTTGGGTTTCTTTTTTCTAAAAAAACAAACTACTATGGTACCGTAATTGCAGGTAAACAGCATTTGTGGTTGTATCGAGTTGACATAATAAGCTAAGAAACCCATACCTTTTAGTAAAGATAATGGCGTTGTTTTCTACTATTTTATATTCGTATGCTAGGAGTATAATCCTATACCCTCCAGTACTCTGAGATTCCAGCAACTTAGTAGGCACCAAGTGTATTTGTGGACAGAGTCTGTCCCGTGGTCAGTATTTGGAGGTGGCGTTTTCAGGTGTGCTCAGTTTGGACCTAACTCTGCTTCTGTTGAAACTGGAGGAACATTGCCATTGACTTGGGCTCAGAGTTAAGTCACTGCAGAGCTCTGCTAAAAACCTTGAGCTCCAGACTGATCCAAATTGACGTAACCTCCTTCTTGCAGCCTGTACTTGGAGAAGGATCTGTTTAGCTTGCTATGAGTGCAAGAGAACCCCTATTTATTACGTGATACTGGCTACTTGGCTGTGCTTTAAAAACCAGAAGACAAGGTCCGCTTAGATGTGATATGTACACTGAAGCCAGACGAGCCTTGCAGAGGTGAAGTAGACTGCGCGTGGCTTGTTAGTATAGCGCAGCAAGACAGGTTACTGTAACAGAGGCTGTTTTGAGGCCTCCTGTCATCATTTCCATTCGCTTTTTCCATACCTAGTAAGGGGATACTCATGCAAGTCCTTTCTGGGTCACGTGTGATAATGGCGCCAGTTGATAACTGCCATCGGGAAAGCTGTAAAGATGGTCACGCAGCAAACCTCACTGGAAAAGGCTTCTTCAACCCACACACAAAAATGACAGTTCCACGCTTCTCTTAATAGCCGATAGCGAAGGGGTGCGTTCCTTAACAGCCTCTGGCAGAGTAACCTACTCGACTAACACTAAGCTGTCACCGTTGGAAGAACCAAAATGCTAGTAGGGACGTGGTGTAGATGTGTTTGTCTCCCTTGCTAACCTGTGAACTTAAGCCAGGTCTGAGCTGTCTTACAGAGTGAGGCGATGAGATTCTGTTGTATTGCGTATATACTAGTGTATTTTTATACTTTGGGAAGTTGAGCTGACACTCGCTGCATGTCCCCTGTCTCTGCTGCTGATTCGGTGTCCATCATTTGTTGCTTCTGCCCCTGGCTTCCCCGGGGAAGGTGGGGAGGGCCTTGGCCTAGTTCCTCAGCTGATGTAAATTGACGTAGCTCCTGTGGAGCCGTGCTGCTTTATGCTAACTGAGAACCTGGTCTTTGGCACCCGCTGAAATACAGAGTGCTTGTGTGCTGCATGCTCTGCGTGGGTAAAGAGAT